TTGCATTTACATAATTCAACACCGAAAAGTTGGGACCTAGTCACCAATCTAGTAGCACACTTAAACTCACGTAGTCCGAGCACCAGTGGAAAAAAGCTCGTCAGAGCAGTAGCCCTGAAAATATTTGTAGAAAAGACAGAAGGAAGCCATGTCACATCTGTGAGAAAGTGACTGAAGTCGAGATGCTGAGTCAGGATGGATTACATTGCAGATCATCCTTTGGATTTTGTCAAGGACCTCGAGATGAATAGCATGAGCACCAGACTAGATATGGCAGCAGTATTCAAATTGAAACAAGAAATAATCTCTTTTGAGATTTGAAACCAAGCACAATTCTAAACTTACATGAATTTCTTCACCAAACAAATTCATATGTTCAGAGAGTTTAAATCTGCCCTCCAGAGAGATAGACTGGAGAATTATTAGTCATTAGAGCTGATAAGACACCTGTTGGAGAGCATGAAAGAAGATTCAATGCAACATCTACCAATGAAGTAGCAACACTCATTGCAGGTCAGAAATTGAAAAAAAAAGTGACATAGTGATTGAGAAATAACATGGATCTCTAAGGAAAGTTGTTGAAACACGCAGGAGTTATGATTCTCTCCAGTAACCACTTATTTTCTGGCAAGGGTAAGATGGCTATCATTTCCTTTTGAAACAAATTGATCCTGAAACTGGGGAAACTACAGGAAAGACAGTTTCAGCAAGGACTTCTATTGCTACAGAATAATTTTAAGAGCTAACAGCTTGTTGAGGGGTCCACCTCTTTTTACACAAATGGACTCACCCTGTATATACATATACTACGACTACGTGAAGACCCGAGTGAGCAAGACCGAGGAATCGAGTCGAGTCGAGAGTGACAGAGTAAAAGGTTGTAGGTAACAGGAAGAGTGAGGGTGAGGTAACAGCGTTGTAGGAGTCACAGTGAGCGAGCACGTAGACTCAGTAAGAATTCATACAGCGATACTTCAATACCAAAGACTGTATACATATTTTGCTACTAACACGTATTCCTGGAACTACTAACCTGCTTTTACCAGTTTGTATTATTACGTTAATACATTATTCTTATATATTCATTCATATTGGGTTTTGTTATTTATTGGTACCGGATTTCATCCCGGAATCCACAACACAGCTTCAATCACCTACTGAGATACAAGCAACTTTTAAACCAGTTCTTGGTTGATATATATGTAAAAATCGAAACATGCCACCAACGAGAACTTCGAGCAGAAAACTACATTCACCTCCAAGATGCTGTTCAAAATGATGGCAATCCGCTCAACACCGGAAAGAAACTCACTCTTACATCATCATTTATAGGAGGTGACAGGTACATGAATGAGAAGACTCAAGATGGAATTACATATGTCAGAAATTTTGGGAAGCCTGATCTCTTGTCAACCTATTATGGCATGAAATAACTAACAATTTAATAGAAGGTCAATCTGCAACTGACCATCATGACATTGTATCTCGATTATTTAAGCTCAAAGTTGAAAAACAGTTGCATCTCACTAGGAAAGGAGAATTTTTGGAGCAGTCTGGGCTCACATGTGCACCATTGAGTAGCAGAAAAGAGGACTGCCTCATTGTCATCTATTGGTTTGGTTCAAGGAGAAAATCAATTCAAATCAAATTGATGATTACATCAGTACTGAGATGCCAAATCTCACTGAAGATCCTTTTTTGAAATCCCACACACAAAAAACAAACAAAAAAATGATTCATGGTTCATGTGGTTCTCTCAATCCTGAATCATCTTGCATGATTGACAAGACATGAAGCAAAGACTTTTCAAAGCAGTTTACCAAAGAGAATCACTTTGATCTTGAAGGCTATCAAAAATACAAAAGGAGAAAGCCAGAAGATGGAGGTCACACTTTCACTCTGCATAAAAGAGGGCAAGAAGTTGCCATTGACAATTGGTGGGTTGTTCCTTCTTACCCGCTGCCCAGCAAAGCATTTGGTGCTCATATAAATGTAGAGTACTGCAACAGCATCAGGTCAATTAAATATATATGTAAATACATCAACAAAATTTCTAATGGGCCGATACATCTCTTCCAATGAAGTTGCCTGGAGGATCCGTAGCTTTCCAATTCATGACTGAAGTCCTTCATTTTAGCACCTGTCGGTTCACTTGGAAAATAGACAAAGATTTTACTTCACAGAAGAAAATGCAAGAGAACTGTCTGAAACCCCTAAGAACGCAACACTAATGGCATTTTTAGAACTGTGTCAAAATGATGACTTTGCAAGAACAATCCTGTACCCTGATGTTTACAAATACCACACCTACAAGGCTGGAAAATTTCAGAAGAGAAACCAAGGAGAACCTCATTCAACTGAACCTGGAATCAAAATGGGAGATTGTTATAGTGGAACACACCTATTCTGTAGTTAATAGACTCTCCCACCTATAATAGGTAGGAGTAGTAAGAGTAACAAGTTAGTCGGCAGTGAGTTGGTCAGTCAGTTGATGTCGGACAACCGTTAGTCGGATATTAAAGTATCAGCCACCTCAACTAGATTACTGCGTCATTACCTATTATATCAAGTTCCTAACGTTTTGTACGTCGAACCTATTTTATCAAATACAAGCCTCCACTGTGAAACCACTATATAACAGAGATGTACTTGAAAGAGTATATAGTCCATTCAAGAAATCCTGAATGGCTCTTTCTCAGACTGTTGCTTCATCACATAGAGGGCCCAATATCATTTCAAGATTTGAGAACAATTGATGGAATTTTCAAAGCGACTAACGGACAAGCATGTATCGAGCTTGGCCTTACAGAAGATGATCATCATTGGGATATGACACTGGAGGAAGCAGTTACAACAAATTCTTCAAAACAAGTCAGAGATCTGTTTGCAGTAATGATTGGCACCTGTGAACTTTCCAATCCAGTTACTCTTTGGGAAAAATATCAGGAGGCTCTGTGAGGATATTCTTCGTCAAATAAGACTAGCTCATTCAGGATTGGAATTGAATCCTCAGATTCTCTGTGAAATTGAAGACAAAGTGATGAATTTGGCTCAAAGAGATCACAGCAATTTTGGTCTGCCAAAGCCAAACAGAGAAACTGGACAAATCAACAGAGACATTTTGAGAGAAACAGGATACAACATGGAAGAACTGCGGCAATATGTCCAAAACAATGAGCCCTTGTTGAACCAAGCCAACAGGAATTGTATCAGAAGGTCCTTGATGGCATCAGCAACAGCAATGGAGGGATTTTCTTCTTGGATGCACTTAGAGGTACTTGTAAACTTTTGCAACTAACCTTCTTTTACCTGCAATGAGACTCCAAAGAAAAGTAGTTCTAGTAGTAGCATAATCTGGAATTGCTGCTGCCCTCTTGCCTGGAGGACATACAGCACACATCGCCTTCACACTTTCATTGGATTTGAACTACAATGAAACCCCTATTTGCAACATCAAGAGAGGAACAAACTTGGCTAAGTTACTGGAAGAGACAAGCTTCATTGTCTGGGATGAACACAAACGAGCCCGGACTAAGCACTCCAAGACATTAGACAGAATTCACAAATCATGGGAGGTGTCACTGTGCTACTCTCTGGTGATTTTAGGCAAATATTACCAGTCATTGCAAGAGGAACTCCAGCTGATGAAATCAATGTTTGCTTGAAAAATTCTTATATCTGGAGCCATGTTCAAAAACACGGCCTGAAAACAAACATGGCAGTTAGAATCACAGGTGAACTTGAAGAAGATTTGCTGTTTTGCTGTTGTAGCTTGGCAATGTAACCATCAAAATGAACCAAAATGGAGATATTTCACTCTCAAATGATTGTGGAGTTTCCTTCTCAAGTATTCAAGACTTGATTAACCATGTTTATCTAAACATTAAACACCAATTCATAGATTCAAACTGGTTTTGTGAAAGGGCCACATTGGCTCCCAAAAATCAAACTGTGTATAGCATCAAGTGGTAACTTCTCCAAGAAATTCCAATAGAAAGCATGAAGTAATCTTCCATTGACACTGTGGATGAACAAGAGCAGGCAGTAAATTATCCAATAGAGTTACTGAACTCATTGAATTCTCCTGGAATACCATCACACAAGCTGGAACTAAAAGAAAATCTGTCAGTTATGTTATTGAGAAATCTGGATCATCCAAAGCTTTTTAATGGAAACAAGGTTAATTGTCAAGAAGATGATTCCTCCTCTCTTGGAAGCAGAGATCCTTATTGGTCCAGGAAAGGAGAAAAGAGTTTTAATTCCAAGAATCCCTTTAATTCTTCGTGATCTTCCTTTTGAGTTCAAAAGACTTCACTTTCCAGTGAGAGTGAGCTATGCAATGTCAATCAATAAATCCCAAAGACAATCATTGAAAGTATCTGGACTTCTGGCTTTTCTCACGGCCAGGAACCAAAAATGAAAAACCAAAAATGTTTATCATACAACTTTGCAATAAGGTCCAAACAGACAAATTACATCATTGTTTTGATGAAAACTGTTGTTTGAAAAATACTGTTCAAATTTAATAAAATTTAATAGGTACTCAATGCATGAAGTGTCATTGTTGGATTGTTGGGCCCAATTAAGAGCCCTCTTCAGGAGCTAGCTTAATTTTAAGCTAATATATATATATATATATATATATATATATAACTAGAGATGTGACCTGATGAACCAGGAAAAATATATTTTCTGGGGAAATAAATTATAGTCATGGAATCTTAAGGTTGTCTCTTAATAATTTAATTAATATTTGCTCTGGCGTTACATTGAGCTCCCTGGATCACATCTTATTACCAAAACTATATATATATATATATATATAAATGATAAACATACGTTCTGAAAGGACATTAAAAATATATTTATTTTCATAGACTTAATTCACACTTAAGAAGCAAACAAAAACTAAAACAAAAAACCTCCATCAAAATCTTTAATAAAAATTTCTGAATTTTTGTTAACTTTTCGATGATAATCAATAAACGAATAAGAATTACCTTTGAAACGATTTCTCCAATCATTCCGGTCCAATTGCCGTCTTCACGTTTGCTACCAAACATTCCATCTTGGACAGTACGGATCTTGTATTTGAAATTCGCATAAGCGGCAAGATCGTCCATTAAGTCGACAATGAAACCTTTGTAAGTAATGTGGCCTGATGTTAGGTTTACTTCTTCTGTTAAGTACGGCTTGGTCTAAGGAGAGAAAAAAAACGCAGATATCTCTCAGCACCCATTTAAGAATCATCAATTTAAAAAACAAAAGAAATTCTAGAATAATATTTACGGCTTATCAATATTCATTAAGCATAGCTTAGTACGGCACAAGGTTAAATTGTGGGAGAACCCAACGAGATCATGAAATAACAACAATAGTAATATTTTGCAAGACGAGCTTACAATAATTACTCCACGGAAATCAGTCTTTTTAAAATATTTGATTCTGTAAAACTTAGTTCGAGAATATCAGTAAATATTAGTCCTTTATATTTGAGTTTATAATCGTTGGCTTGGTTCGAGGATAGATAAACATGGCCGTTTATATTTGAATTCATTGATTCAAGAAGAGGCACATATTAACCGTTTATATTTGAGTCTATAGCCATATACTTGTTTTCAGGATAGGTAAATAATGGATGTGTGTTGTGGTGTCATGGATATAGGCTCGGAACAAGAAAATGGAGAGCCGAGTAACGTTAACTTAAGTTCAAATACCACTCGGAAAGGAATGCATCAATCTCTTCTTCCACTTAAGGGTTTGGTTGGCAACCAGTCTACCGTATAAAGAAATAGTAACCTACAGCGGGAAAAATCTTCTACCTAGTCAGTCATCAATAGAAAGAAACATGATCGCCCAAGCGTGTATCACGTATTGCTGAAATATTGGTTATTTACATTTTAATTTTCGCCTATAAGCATTTACTTGGTTCGGAAATATGTAATATTCGTCTTGTATATTTGAGTTTGTAAGTAATTACTTAGATCGGGAATAGGTATATATGGATCGTTTATATTTAGGTTTGTAAACAATTACTTGGTTATGGGGTAAGTAAATATTGATCGTTTATAATTGAGTCTATAAGAATTTACGGTTAATTTGCATTATAATCCCCAAAAACCAATTGTGATGAAAATTTTACATTATGGTGTGAAATTGCCTGATTATTTAAAAAATAACAATAAAAGTTTGTACTCGAATACCGTTTAGGAGTTATCGACAATCTTAGTTCAGTCTTATTCACATCGCATCTACAGCCCGGCCGCCATTATTGGCGTTGTTTACATACGTTTGCCTCGAGTAATAATGTGTGGAAGCTTATTTAGTTAACGGCTTTTTACTAATCTTCTTATCTTCTTACTCGTCTTGATTACTGCGCAATTTTCGCAATTTAATCTAAAATGCACATGCTTTGGCTTTAATAACTAATGAATTCTTTTTTTTTTTTAAATTGGTTTAAAAAATATTTAGAAAAACAATTGAAAGATTTTCTAAATAAATATAACATCATGGGTGAACCCTTTTTCCAAAAAAAAAAAAAAAAGAAAAAAGAAAGGAATGATAGTGTCTTAAGAATTATTTTGGTTTAAATTTTTATTAACTTAAGACATTTAAATTATTTAAAAAAGCAACGGAAAAACATTCTTAAGACAATGGAACGTGCGCTATTTTCTCTGCTGAAAAACACATTGTTTTGGTATGGGAAGAAGAGGATTCATATCTTTCCCAAGAGTATTTGCACATATGTGAATGTAATGGTTTCGACTGGAATTCGAATCGGCTCTCCGATTCCTCAATCCGAACAGCTACCCATTACTCCCTTTTGTTTACTGCAACTGATTCACTGATGTCAGTTTGCCTGTCACCTGGGACGGTTCACCTTTTCAATTAATGAAAATCCATTACATAGGAAAAAAAAACATAACGTGATTTATAGATTTATCGCTCACGCAGCCTGATTTTTCTAACTAGTAATGAGATATTGCATTGTTATAATAATAAGAAGGATTACTCGACACTAATGACTGAACATGCTCCCCGTTTTAATAACAAAGGAATTAAGTAGGGAAAATTAAGTAGGGAAACTCATTGCTTTTTATATCTTTTGATTTATGTTATCTTTCTTTGGCTATTTTGTCTTAATTTAATGTTTTAAATAACAAAATCAAAAATATTTGATAATAAAATAATGTTTTAAATAATCAAAATCAAAAATATTTGATAATAAAATGAATTATATAATGCTGCGTAATTTTAGTATGTTTGGATAATGTTGCGGGAATTAACATTTTGAAGAGTAAATATTTATGGGCTCCTGGGAAATTTGTCCCATAAACAACATTGCCGGACTCAATGTGAGTCTAAGTAAAAAATCTGTAACACAAAACAATAAATATAAAACAAACGAGAATGCATGTACTTACAAAAGGAATTACATGTGACTAAAGGAAAAACATGAAACTAGTTATAAGAATGTGCACGTTTATCTGTGCGTGTGCATGTGGGCGCCTATGCGCGTGTGTCCGCGTGTGAATGTGTGTGTGTGTGTGTGGTGCGTAAGAGAGTACAAACGTGAAGAGAGAAAACCATGAAAATAAAGGTTACCCAGTGGGGGACACTTTACTCATGTGCGATTACATCATAAAACCAGAGTTGAAAAACTGTAAAAGAGGCTAGGCAGAGAAATGCACGCTTTTTTATAGGCTTAAGGAGCGATAACCCACAATATATAAAAACTTCATTACTCATGCAGAAAGTATAACCAATGCAATTGCTAAATTACTTAAATATGGTCATTAGTTCTTGAAGGTGCAAGTAAAGTTTCTTTGGATAGTTTTATGTTTAATAATTTAAATAGTAGAATTCTTTCTTATATTTGACATAGAGTTAATTGTACAGATAAAAATTCTACATTACTCATGTAGGAAATATAACCAATGAAGTCGCAAAAATAATGTTACCGTTATTTTTTATGATACAGTTTCGTTGATATTAAAGGAAAAAAAAGTCCAATTTTTTTTATCTATATGAAAAATCTATATCATAAACCTCTACTCTCGTTCAAAAAGACCGGGGAGGAGTGTGAACCGGACATGTAGCTTTTCCCGCATGTGTCAGTGTCTATGTATATATGTAGGTATTGTGCATGTGTGTGGATACATGAATATAGAAAAATAAGAAAAATAATAAGTGTATCGGTATTTTAAGCAAGAAGGAGATAGTGAAGGAAACATTTTATCAGTTAAAAAGTATAAAAATATAATGAAGATAAAACGGTTTTTACTTACCAAAATGGAAGTTACAACAAGTTCTTCAGCCTGTAAAAAGTAAAAAAAAAGAAGAAAAATAGTAGTCAAAAAATTATAAGGACAAGAGATCTGGTACGTTCTGGATTTAGCTAAAATCAGTTAATATCTTTATTCCTATATGCAAATTGTTGCTATTTTCCTAAGTTGAATTTGTTTGTTTTAGAAACAAGACTTTACGAGGGTATTTTCAAGAACGCGTCTTATTTTCTCGGTCGATATTTTAAACATTTCAGTGAAAAATTCCTTGAAAAAATTCAGTCGGAATAAACTTCATTACCTTCGAAAGTTTGCGATATTTGAGTAAAATTATACACGCCGTCGCTAGACGCACCATTTAAAAAAACAAACAAATGCGGTTATCAGCAACAAAAAAAAAAAAAAAAAAAAAAGAAAAACATCCAGATGAAAGCTATGAATTAGTGATGTCAAAATCAAGCAAATACAGAAGTTCAAATATCTGGGAAATATTTTAACGGAAAACTAAATGATATGACACCGAAATCAGAAGCTTTACCGTCCTTCTCTGTCACATACACTGAAAATATATTGTTAAATACTTACAATTATGAGAAGGCCTTCAAATATTAGGCTTCATATTTTTCCCAATTATTATATTAATACGTAGTACTTAGAGGGATCAGTTTATTACTTAATAATAACATAAAAACTATCCCCTACCTTGTATCCAGTAGAATCATATATTAATCTTAGATTACCCATTCGGTAAAAAATGACGCCAACTTTTGTTAAGTACTAACTACTATTAGTTTTCACATATGAATATTTAAATACATTTTTCAAATGATTTTATTAATATTTAATAATTCTGGGAGATCAGTTTATTACATAAGATCAATACAAAACCGATCCCTTTTTTACTCAGTAGAAACTTACATTAATATATAGTAAAGCTTACGACCACATCACGCTGAAGCACCAATTAAGCAACGTCGAGACTGGTCAGTACCTAGATGGGTAACTGCTTGGGAATACCAGGTGCTGTAAGCTTGGATGTGCGGGTGGTGTAATAGATAATGGCTCAAAGTTGTTAATCGGAAAGCCGAGTTCCAATTCCCGTCGTGTTCTTTATATTTACTTACTTGAATCTACTACTTCTCTAGATATGAGTTAATTAGTAAGGCTTATATCATTAAACCATTATTATCTCCACCCCCACCCCAAAATTCTTACAATCTAAAAATATATTCTGGCTTTAAATGATCTGAAAAGAGTTAATAAATCGTAGAAAACGAATCAATCAATCAATTAATACATAGTAATTCTTTTAATTAAATATGTAAATTTATTCATGATATTTAAAGTAAATATATTAATTTACTCATGATGTAAAAAATAACGGCATATTTTAAGTTATTATATTAGAAAGATTTTCACATGAGTCTTTAAATATATATTTCCAATTATTATATTATATATATTGCGTCCATTTGTCGATATATCTCGATCCTTCTAGATTTTCCGGAAATTACCCTTTCATTGCATTATTCAGTCGAACAGCTGGCCATTGTCAAAACAAAGACACTATCACCTGGTGTTGCCAATGAAAGGGAATTACAAGATATATCTTCCTTGCACTGACAACGTTAAATACTACAAACATTATATGATGAAACTAGGAAAGCTGTCTCCATCTAGCAAATAGACAATTCTGATTTCTGTTATACTTTTTGATTGTTTAATCGCAAGAACATTCGCCTTCAAGCAGTACGCACACGGCATCTTGCCAGATCTTTGTTCACGAATGAACAAAGATCAGTTCTAAATATAAACTTATTTCCTGGAGATCCGTCTTCAGACAGCACCTCCATACTGCACTAGGAACAAGGCTAACCTCGCGATGCTTTCAGCCTGCCAAAGATAACGCCAAGGGAAGTAGGCATTCGAACTCGGCTCTCAGATTTCTCATTCCGAGCCGATATCCATTACACCACAATTCGGATGATAACTATCAAACAAACAAGAATTGTTTCTCCTATGTACATTTCCCAATATCTTCAATAGAATTTTGCACACACCGTATGTACAAATAAGGACATCTCTATATACACAAATTATCTCTTCTTCAGGAGGAACCGGAAACTCAGTCTTAAAGAGGGAACAAGGGATAAACCTCTAATCCTGCTTAAAAGACCGGAGAGGAGTGTGAACCGGACGACATGTGAACTGATCTACTATATACATCATCGTAATTTAATTCCTATCTCGTTTGAGAAAACATCCCATAATACTATCAATACATATATCTCTCATATAAATATGTATCTCACCATTAAATAATATCCCTTCAACAATTATAATATCCAGCTCAAACTGGTGATCTTGCTACAGGGTACTTGAAATCTTTTGTGAAATCTCTGTAGCTATTTAAATTAAATATGATGCAAGAGTTCATGATTATTTTCAAATAAGATAGAATTCAATCTTACTGGGGCGGACGATTCAACTTAAAATTCCGCATGTGAAGAAGGTTTTCAGCTTGTACATTTAAAACAATACAAGAGGTCAAACAAGACCTCCTAATCTTTCAATCAAATCCTCTAACATCTGGATTAGCTGTTATGTTTATTTTTTTTATATTGGAATCACAAGATATCAATTCCACTTGTGTATTCACATGTATTCTGTGTATTCTGTTTCAGAGGTATCTTAACGCTCTTCATAGCATTGATGATGAAAGGCTAAAGTCACATGTTAAGAATATAACTTAATTCTTTTTTTCCGATTGCAGAAAAATCGAGACAGCTTGTAATAGAAACTTCGTAGACTCCATAAAAGTTTCGCAGCAATTTATTCTGACTAACAGTTAGTAATGTGAATACACTGAAAAATAAACAAATATAGATGTTAAATATATGAGGAAGTTCTGAAAAGTTCACGGTCCATATCTGACCAAATAGTCAAAAATATCTATCATAATTAGTCTTGGAATCCTTTCTTGGTCGAGCCGAGAACTTTTCACTATCCTCATGTGTATATGCATATTTCTAAAGAATAGATTTTTATTTATTAAGCCGAAATACTTTTATCACGTCAAGCGTTATTTTTTGTGGATACCCATATTTGAGTAGACACTCTGTTTATTTTTTAAATGGTATTTTATTTTAGTCTACCGGCCTGAATATTCAAGAAATCTTATTAAAAAGGACGCATTGTTGTTTAATAAGATTTCTCAAATATTCAGGCCGCTATACGAAAATAAAATACTGCTTAAAAAAAATAAACGGAAGTCTAGTCAAATATAAGAATCCACTAAAAATAATGTTTAAAGTGACATATGCATATATAATCCGCATCACACACATACATGAACATGAACAACATAGCACTCTCTCTCTAACACACACACACACACACACACACACACACACACACACACACACACACACACACACACACACACACACACACACACACTCTCTCTCTCTCTCTCTCTCTATCTATCTATCTATCTATGTGTGTGTGTGTGTATGTGTGTGTGTGTAAATATATCTGAGTGTGCAGCGATGACACGGTATCGCTGGGCTCCATGATTGAAAATATATATATATATATATATATATATATATATATATATATTCAAATGAGAGAAAGAATGAATGGATTAAAAATCCACAGTTCGTAGCATTTACTTTTAAAAAATTGCTCGATACAAAGTGTTATGGAGTGGTTTCCTAGTGGAGGCTTGTATTTGTACTAAGTCGGTCCTAAAATAGGTTCGACGTACAAAACGTTAGGAACTTGATATAATAGGTATAACGCAGAGTAAATCTAGTTGTGGTCGCTGATATTTTAGTATTCGACTAACGGTCGTCCGGCATCGACTGACTGACCGCCTCACTGAGCCACTCACTTGTTACTCTTACTACTCCTACTTATTATAGGTGGGAGAGTCTGTTAACTATAGAATAGGTGTGTTCCACTATAACAAAAAGTATAATATATATATATATATATATATATATATATATATATATATATATATTGATGTGTATTTGGGCAGCAACCTTTCTTTCATACATCTTTCACTGAAAACGGCCGACAAGGAAAATTTAATTAATCTTTTATGGAGTTTTTCCATCAATCTAATATTTTCCTGTTTTTTAGGGGTTAAAGAATATAGTAATTGTCCGCAGTTATAATAGTTCCGAGCGCTTTCGGCTACTTCTCTAGCCATTATCAAGGATATGTTTTTGGATGTTGAAATTCTGTGGGTGGCTGCTGCATAGTAATTTTACAGTGTGGAGTTCGAGCAGTTTGTGTGATTCTATAGACAATTCCTATATTCTTTAACCCCGGAAAAGTAAAAAATTGTTAGATTGCTGGAAAAACTCAATAAAAGATTAATTAAATCTTCCTTGTCGGACATTTTCAATGAAAGATGCATATATATATATATATATATATATATATATATATATATATGAATGATAAAATATGTTTTTAAACTATTTTATATTTATGGGGTAAATGTGTTCAAAATCCTAGATAGAGCGTATCCAAATATAAGCAGTGTGGATACAAAAGTCAACACAGAATGGTAAAAATGGTGATACACACCAACAGAAAAAAACGAAGCATCATAATCTATTCGCTTCCCTAGTACTGCTTACATTCGTGTACTTGTAAAATATAAACATGCATGGCATAAATGCCACCCGAAATAACAAAAGACAGGAGGTATTCTAAGTTTCTTTACTGATTTTGCTGAAAATGCCACAATGAATAATTCTGCTTCTGCTTTCTGGCGAAGTTCCCATTATTATATGAAATTACACACACATTTCCCATACATAATCCCTTGTCTACTACACACACACACACAAACACACACACACACATATATATATATATATAACGTGGTTTCTCTTTATTCGCTACATCGATTACCGAGGCTTCAGCTAACCGCGGTCAAGCAAACAATGCATAAATTTAACTAATAATGCTTCTATAGTATAAGAACAGTGATACTGGCAATTCGTTAAAGAGAAGCGATAATGTTTGTTCTTTAAGTTGTAGAGACGTGTGTGTGCCTACAGGTTTGTTTTCGGAATGAAGGTGAAACTGAGAACTTTCGAAGAAATTAAAATCAGAATATATTTTCAACACGTGGATGGATTTTACATCCACATATACAAGAATAGATAAATTATACTTGCGTGAACACGGTTAAAAAAAAGAAGGAAATCATTACAGGCTTTATTGTTAGAAAATGTATGTGTAAGTGATGCGCCATGTGACTGAGTTTGGAGTTTTGCAACCGGCCGCCCGAGGAAAGAAATGACCCTGGATGCGACAACACTTATCCTGTACCTACCGCATAAAAAGAGAGAAGAAGAAAGAGTTATGTCCGTCCTTTAATATTCCTGAAACAGCGCCACCTAGCGAGCGTCTTGGCAGATTAGGTGGAGGTAATCCCCATAAAGTGAAAAGTGAGCCTTCTTGATTTAAAAATCTTTTTTTTTAAATACCTATATTAAATATTCCATTCAAATTTCAAGATACCGTTTCCTGTCATGAAAGATATTATATCTAATGAACGTTGTTTATTTTTTTATAACTGTTGAGGGGTCCACCCCTTTTTATACAAATGGACTCACCCAGTGTATACTTATACTACTGTCAGTGAATACCCGTTGAGTCGAGTCCAGAGTGACAGAGTAAAAGGTTGTAGGTAAACGGAAGAGTGAGGGTGAGGTAACAGCGTTGTAGGAGTCACAGTGAGCGAGCACGTAGACTCAGTAAGAAGTCATACAGCGATACTTCAATACCAAAGACTGTAGAGATATTTTGCTACTAACCCGTATTCCTGGAGTTACTAACCTGCATTACCAGTTTGTATTATTACGTTAATACATTATTTTCCTATATTCATTCTTGGCGTTTGTTATTTATTGGTACCGGATTTCATCCCGGAATCCACAACAATAACAATAGCTTCTAGGGTTTTGGGTGTGTCATTGCATTAGGTTCTTTATAGTATTATATAATAAAAAAACGCATTATATATGGAGCAGTTTCGCTTCCTTTAACCATTAGACACGATAGCAACGTTGACTATAAAACTTTCGGATTTCTACAGAATACCAGGATGTAGTCCAATTAATCTTAAAAAACATAGACAACACATGGTTCTTGAAAATGTCTGTGACGGTCAGAAGGACTTGATCAAAACAACAGGACAAACATGGACATCGAATAGTTTATCCACAATTTAGAACCAAATATACATTCGAAAATTATAAAAATATAATAAAAAATTAAACAAGCAGACCTTTTCGGTTGTATTTAAACTTGTTTGGATAAATACTTTCTGCTTATGCATATATATATATATATATATATATATATATATATATATATATATATATATATATATATATAATAGATGTTTACTTGTATTCGAGGATAGCTAGTCAATTCCTATTACAGACTCTCGCTTAGGCACATTTGTGTTTCTTCAACATCCACAGAGCCAACCTGTTGAGCAGACCTTAGTTACAGTTTCTGGGAGAAAGCATGTTATCTATAATGATCAACAATCTGAACAACACCAGCACACTCAAACCCTTGGTCGCGATGACTTGTGACTTTGTGCTAGCACAGCTATCGACGACATAGATATATGAATAAAGACAAAGGGAAAACATTTCTTTGCCAACACGTTTCGTACCCTGAGGGACTTTATCAAGGT